GTGCTGGGTTGGTAATGTACGAATGCCGCAATACCTGCGATGAGAAAATATCTGCGAATGAGAAATAAAATCTGATATAGCTAAAAAGGAAGGAAGAGCAGTTTCAATCATCACTTAAATTATAAAGCCCGTATCAGAAGTGCAGGCACAGAGACACATTTTGTAACTCTGTTGATCATAGGAAATGAGTCAGTGCGACTCGTTAACATGGAATAGGGGGAACTTTAGCTGAGAAAATGACTTTGGAAGAAGAGGTGAAATTCCCCTGCAGAGATTTTATATCCAGCACCACTCCCATGTGCTTTATTCACAGCCACAAAACACTTTCGTATTGCCTGCAGTTTGTTTACATTGTAATGATGCATTCATGAACTTGGGCGCTGGGTCACTATATCACAAGTCAAAGTCACAACTGAATTGTCCATGCTAACTGAGATTGTCAGAATGTTCTTCAATTGCTTGGCCATCCAAAGTGAATGCCGTTTTGTCAAGAGGCCCTTCGACAAGCTGTTTTTCCAGAATAGCCAAATAACTTAAAAATATGGATTTGCAAAATGTTCACGACGTAACACAGAGGATAATGTCTCTGCTAAAACTCCAGCAAGCTTGGGGCAGGTCAAAGAATAAGCAGATAAACAGATAGACAGACATGTATGTATGTATGTATGTATGTATGCAGTGCTTTTTTTGTAAAAAAAAAAAAAAAAGGTGCCGGAACACACGCGTCATACAACCCGCCTTGCCTACCCTACAAGGTTCCATCCAAAAAAGGTGCCGGAACTCCATTCTGGGTGTTCTATGACAAAAAAAAAGCCTTGTATGTATTATGATACTGTAGATAGAGGTGGATAGATAGATGATATAGAAATACAGATAGAGAATAGAGATAGAAGGATGGACTGATAGATGGATAGGTATATAGAGCTGGATGGACGGATAGATAATAGATGATAGAAATAATAATATAGACAGATAGATGGATTAGATAGATGCGTAGATATGTAGATAGAAGTTTTAAGCAGCCTGTATTATAATGTAGCCATCAAACGAATCAGGTGGAACTGGGATAAGAAATACTAAATGAATTACAGATTTAAGCGATTGATACTCAAGAGCTGATGTAAAAATCCATTTAATAAAACTGCCTATTGGATTAAGTTGTGTAACTCTGAATAGCTGCTGCATGTACAAATCACCTCTCTTCCATCAAAGGAGACATTTTTCCTCCATGTGGGAACAATGCCATTTCTTGATAGGACACATTGATTTTGTTATGTACTTACACATTGATTCTCTTATGTACTTCACTGAAGGTGAATTTCTGGGTAAATAAAAATGCCGTTTTAAAATGTGCATATACCAAGGGCAAAAATTGACTGTGTTTATTAATGTAGGCAACCACTATATTCTAACTAGCAAATTCCATAAAGTAATTATGTACTGTGCGACTTCTGTACCTTTCTGGAGTCTGTTTTGAATCTCCCATAATTTAATTCAACTTCAAGTTCTACTATAATGAGACTGGTTTTTTTTCTTTTTTCTTTTCTTTTCTTTTCTTTTCTTTTTTTTTCTTTTCTTTTCTCAGTGCTGTTGTAACTTTGAACGTCAATAAACTGTTGGAAGTTGATGACTACCCGTAGTCCTTGACTTATGATCACAGTTGAGTCCAAAATTTCCATTGCTAAGCAAGGCAGTTGAGCTGCACGCCATTTTACATCCTATTTTTGCCACAGTTAAGTAAAACACCGCCGTTGTTAAGCGAACCCTGAGGTTGTTAAGCAAATCTGGCTTCCCCCATTCACTCTGCTTGTCAGAAGCCAGTTGAATGGTGATCACGTGACTGCAGGACAATACAACTGTCATTAACACGCCAGTTGCCAAGTGCCAAAATTTTGATCATGTGACCATGGGGATGCTGCAACAGTTTTGTAAGTGTGAAAATTGTAATAAGTCACTTTTTTCAGTGCTGTTGTAACTTTGAATAGTTACTAAACAAATGGTTGTAAGTCAAAGGCTACCTGCATCCAGGTCAGTGGGCTCCAAAACTGGCTGGGGAATTCTGGGAATTGAAGTCCACAGGTCTTAAAATGGCCAAGGTTTAAACACACCTGGCTTACACCGTAGTGGTCAGGAAGGTGAAATGTCTCTTCTCCCTTACTGCGTCTACAGACTGTTGTCCAGTGTTGGTTTAAGGTAGCAAACACTCTTTTAGGAACAGATTCCCTATTGCCATCATGACTTTGTGCAGTGTTCAGCTTGTGCACTGTGGATGTTTTAATACTGTATTTGTTCTTACACTGGACTTGGGACTCTGCAGTCCCTCCGTGTTAGGCAAGGCCAAACCCTTCTGAACATATTGCCAAGAAAATTAGAGAGGCTTTCCTAGGTAAGACTCAGATATCACACTGAAACAAAGGCAGAAAACCCACAACAACACACACACACCTTCTGGAAAGGGGTATGCCAGCAAGGGATCCTCAGCCCTGAATTACAGATATACAAGCATTCATTTAGTGACCATTGGAAGTTACAACGGCACTGTAAAAAGTGACTTAGGACCCTTTTTCACACCTATGACTGCTGTTGCAACATTCCCATATTCACATGATCAAAATTCGGACACTTGGCAATTGGCTCGTATTTATGACAGTTGCAATGCCCCGGGGTCATGTGATCCCCTTTTGCAACCTTCTGACTAGCAAAGTCAATGGGGAAGCCAGATTCACTTACAGTAGTGGCCAAAATTGTGGAAACCTTTTGGGAAAAGTGTACAGTAGAAATGCCACCTTTAGTTAAGTTTCCACCCATTTTTCTTCTAATTTCTTTATAACTGTAGCCTTGTTCACTTAATAATACTATTCTGCATCGCTTTCTGGGCAACCAGTCAACTCTTTGCACCATTACTTTAATTTTATTACGTTTTACAAGCTCACTCAATGAAAGAACACAAAAAAACCCCAACCAACTTGATAGCAATCACATAACACACTGACAAATGTCCTCCTCTCAGCTTCAATACATGAGGTCAATAACTGAACCTACTGTGATCTGATTGGTTCATGGCCAAAACAAGAGGACACCTGATTGGCTCTCTAAACACTCATGCTCATTGGCTACAATCAGATGAAGGAAAGCTACCTGATATGAACCTAAGCAAGTTGTGCTTCCTTTTTCTGCTTCTTTGGCTATAACTTTTCATAGAATACAGTACAGATAATTGAACAATCTTTGTTGCATTGCATTCTTGATTAAATTATCTTTCCATTGATATATAATTTTACGGTACTACTCCAAAAACAAAGTGGTGTTATTAGCCATCAAACCTCAAAAATACACTTTTCCCAAAAGGTTTCCACAATTTTGGCCAATACTGTAACTACTAGCTTAATCAATCAGAATAGAGCTGGAAGGGACCTTGGAGGCCTTCTAGTACAACCCCCTGCTCAAGCAGGAGACCTGTACCATTTGAGAGAAGTGGTTGTCCAATCTCTTCTTGAAAACCTCCAGTGATGGAGCATTCACAACTTCTGGAGGCAAAGCTGTTCCACTGGTTAATTGTTCTCATTATTAGGAAGTTTCTCCTTAATTCCAGGTAGCTTCTCTCCTTGATTCGTTTCCATCCATTGTTTCTTGTCCTGCCTTCTGGTGCTTTGGAAAATAATTTGACCCCCTCTTCATTGTGGCAGCCTCTCAAATACTGGAATACTGCTATCATGTCCCCCTAGTACACAGGGGTCTTCAAACTTGGCCCTTTTATGACTTGTGGACTTCAACTCCCAGAATTCCTCAGCCAGGCACGCCGGCTGAGGAATTCTGGGAGTTGAAGTCCACAAGTCATAAAAGGGCCAAGTTTGAAGACCCGTGCCCTAGGCCTTCTTTGCTCTAGTGCAGGGGTAGGCAACCTTGGCTCTTTTATGACTCGTGGACTTCAACTCCCAGAATTCCTCAGCCAGCATGGCTCAGCTTGGAAACCTCTCCCTTTCCCCTCAGCATGGCTGGCTCAGGAATTCTGGGAGTTGAAGTCCACGAGTCATAAAAGAGCCAAGGTTGCCTACCCCTGCTCTAGTGCCATACCCAGTTCCTGCAATCAGTCTTGGTATGTTTTAGTCTCCAGGCGTTTAACATATGAACAACACAGCTTCTAATATTTGGCTTTTAATTTGGTTTTATAGGGGTTTATATTTTTTGTATTTTTTGTATTCTGCACTTGTACCTGTTTTAATATGCTGTGCACCGCCCTGAGTCCTTCGGGAGAAGGGCGGTATATAAATTAAATTATTATTATTATTATTATTAACAGTGTCAGGAACTGGGTACGGCTAGTCTGGAGAACAGCGATTCACAATTGCAGCGGTTCACTTAACAACTGCGGCAAGCCAGGGGGTATAAAATGGTTGCAAAACTCACTTAACAAATATCTCGCTTAGCAACAGATCAGGGCTCAGTTGCGGTTGTAAGGCAAGGACTACCTCTACGGGAAAACCTCCCTGTTGGAACTGCAGGGTTTCCCAAGCGAGGAAACCAAGGGCAATTGCAAAGTTGGGAAGCCCGGCTCTGTAAACAGATGGTCGTCAGGAAGGTCGAAGCGAGTTGAGCGCGCGCGGGCTTCAAAAAGTGCAGGACTGCCAAAAGGCAAAAAAAGGAAGAGGGAGAGAGAGAGAGAGAGGGCCCAGCCTCCGAAGGCGTGGACAAAGCAACGCAGAAGTTGCTCCCTTCTTTCTTTTGGAGAAGGTTAACCCGCCGGGGACACTTGGTGGAAGAGCAGCGCCGGCCAAGGGGGGAACGCGGAGCGCCCCGAGCTACAGTCCTTTTCCCCCCCCCAGCAGCCCCGATCGTCGGAAGGAGTTGCCCACGGAGCTTCGCGGCCCTCCGCCGAAGGCGCCTTTCGCTGCGGCTTTGTAGCAAAGACCCTCCTCGGCCGGAGATCGGCATCGGCGGCGGCGGCGGCTCCATGGATCGGCTGGGCCGGACCGCGCTGCTTTGCGCTCTGCTCGTTCTTCTCCTCCTCCCGCGGCCGCGGACTCTCGCTGAAGAGGAGCCGTCCTGCGGGTCCGCTTTCGACCTCTACTTCGTGCTGGACAAGTGAGTGGAAAAGCGGGGAGCGAGGAGGATGCGTTGGCGGGAATCCGGGGTCCCCCCTTCTCTCTCTCTCTCTCTCTCTCTGGAGAGAGCATTGCGCCGTTTTACTCCGCTGCGATCTTGTGACACACGCTTGGCAATCCGGTGGGAGAGAGAGAAAACAAATCCACACACACACACCCCCGTGCAAGATTTCCCGGGCATGGGTCGTTTGGAAACGGCCTTGGGGCCCGGTGTGTGTGTGTGTGTGTGTGTGTGTGTGTTGCAGTTGTTCCAGGGGAGACTCTGGATGCCCCCCCCCTTTTATGCACTCCCCGAACTTCTACTTGAGAAGAGGCGCAATTCTAAACGTGTTTGTGTTGTTCAAGCAGGAAGGATAAAAGAAAAGTTTGCAGCGCTTCGGTTGTGCTTTGCGTGTGGAAGGGACGAGGAGAAAGTTTCCTTGCACCGAAGTGGAGTTGGTTCTCGACTTACGACCGCAATCGAGCCCAACGTTTCTGCGGTTAAGTGAGGCCTGTGTTAAGCGAGCTTTGCCCACATTTTACGACCTTTCTTGACCCAGTGGTTCAGTGAACCCCCCTGCAGTTGACAAGTTAGTAACCCCCTGGTTGTTAAGTGAATCTGGCTTCCCCACTGATTTTTTTGCGGGTCAGAAGTTTGCAAAAGGGGATCACGACGTGACCCTGGGGCACCGCAGCAATGGTCATAAATACGAACCGGTTTTCCAAGAATCTGAATTTTAACCACGTGATTGTGGGGGATGCTGCGAAAGACGTAACTGTGAGCAACGGTCGTAAGTCACATTTTTTTCAGAGCCGTTGTAACTTTGAACAGTCCCTAAACGAACTGTTGTAAGTCAAAGATTCAGGGGAAGAGATTTGAATTTGCAAGAATAAGGAGCTGGAAGGTTAGTTGCTGAAGGAGAGGAGAGCAGTATCTGATAGAGATGAAGCCTGTGTAAATGACATGCTTTGTGAACAGGCATAGTGGATGTAAGAGGGGCGGTTGGGATGCTCCCTTTGTTCCTTAATGTGATTATTATGTAGACGAGTCCTTGAGAAGAGAGAAGAAGTCTCTTAATTGGGGATGTGATTGTGCTTGTTCTTTTGTATGCAGCAAATAAGAACTTGAGTGATTTGACAGAGGCTGTTTGGTAGGATGTACAGATAGTCCTTGACTTTGTTGTTGTTGTTGTTAGTTGCGAAGTCGTGTCCCCAGGGCTTCCTGTCCTCTACCATCTTCTGGAGTCCATTTAAGCTCACGCCTACTGCTTCAGTGACTCCATCCAGCCACCTCATTCTCTGTCTTCCCCTTCTTCTCTTGCCCTCAATCTTTTTTCCAGCATCAGGCTCTTCTCCAGGGAGTCCTTCCTTCTCATTAGGTGGCCAAAGTATTTGAGTTTCAACTTCAGGATCTGGCCTTCTAAAGAGCAATCGGGGTTGATCTCCTCTAGGACTGACCGGTTTGATCGCCTTGCAGTCCAGGGGACTCGCAGGAGTCTTCTCCAGCACCATAGTTCAAAGGCCTCAATTCTTTTGCGCTCAGCCTTTCTTATGGTCCAACTTTCACAGCCACACATTGCAACTGGGAAAACCATGGCCTTGACTATACGCACTTTTGTTGGCAGGGTAATGTCTCTGCTTTTTAGTATGCTGTCTAGATTTGCCATAGCTTTTCTCCCCAGGAGCAAGCATCTTTTAATTTCTTGGCTGCAGTCCCCATCTGTGGTGATCTTGGAGCCCAGGAAAATAAAATCTGTCACTACCTCCATTTCTTCCCCATCTCTTTGCCAGGAATTGAGAGGGCCGGATGCCATGATCTTGGTTTTCTTAATGTTGAGTTTCAAGCCAACTTCTGCACTCTCCTTCTTCACCCGTATCAAGAGGCTCTTTAGTTCCTCTTCACTTTCTGCCATTAGAGTGATATCATCCTTGACGTACAACCATTCATTTAGCCACCGTTCAAAGTTACAGTAGTGGGGAAAAATGACTTATAACTGGTCTAGTACTTATGACGACTGTAGTATCCCCATGGATACGTGATCAAAAGCTCAGGTGCCTGGCAACTGACAGGTGTTTATGGGAGTTGCAGCATCCCAAAGTCGTGCGATTGCCGTTTGCAACTTTCCTAGCCAGTTCCCAACAAGCAAAGGCTATAAGGGAAGCCAAATTTCCTTAATGACTGGATGATTCATGTAATCACTGCCGCGATCTGCTTAACAACGGTGGTGAAAAGGTTTTGAAACTGAATGCGACTCAGTTAACAACTGCCTGGCTTAGCAATGGAAATTTTCATCCCAGTTGTGGTCATAAGCAAGGACTATCTGTATGATGCAAGGCTGTATATAAAAATTAGTGTATCAGATACCAAGATGGGCATGTTGAATAGGGAATGTGGATTGAATGATTGCAATTACTACAACCATGGTGGGAAGCTAAAGTCGATGTGGTACGTTGTGTGTTAAAGAGAGAAATACAGTAGTGGCCAAAATTGTGGAAACCTTTTGGGAAAAGTGTACAGTAGAAATGCCACCTTTGGTTAAGTTTCCACCCATTTTTCTTCTAATTTCTTCATAACTGTAGCCTTGTTCACTTAATAATACTATTTTACATTGCTTTCTGGGCAACCAGTCAACTCTTTGCACCATTACTTTAATTTTATTATGTTTTACAAGCTCACTAAATGAAAGAACACAAAAAAACCCAACCAACTTGATAGCAATCACATAACACACTGACAAATGTCCTCCTCTCAGCTTCAATACAGAACATCAATAATTGAATCCTACTGTGATCTGATTGGCTCATTGCCAAAACAAGATGACACCTGATTGGCTCTCTAAACACTCATGCTCATTGGCTACAATCAGAGGAAGGAAAGCTACCTGATATCAACCTAAGCAAGTTCTGCTTCCTTTTGCTGGTTCTTTGGCTATAACGTTTCATAGAATACAGTACAGATAATTGAACAAACTATATTGCATTACATTCTTGATTAAATTATCTTTCCATTGATATATAATTTTGTGGTACTACTCCCCCCAGAAAAGTGGTGTTATTAGCCATCAAACTCAAAAATACACTTTTCCCAAAAGGTTTCCACAATTTTGGCCACTAATGTATAGAGACTTTTTATGACTTTTTATGCGAGGAAAAAAAAAGTCTGTTGAAAGAAACAAAACAAAAATGCCTTTTAAAACATGCCCACTTAGCTGTATTATATGGAAGAAAGAGCTGCTATATCAGGAGAGTTATAAAAGCAACGCATGGGAATTGGGTCCTCAAGGGTGTGCAGTAAAACAAGAGATTTTTTTCATAAAAGGCAAATATGCTGCTTTACAGTGAGATGCCTTTCAAGGAAAAAAGTTAGCTAAGCACTTGCATTATCTCTGCCCGAAGAACAGCAATAAAAAAAAATTGCACAAGCAGCTTTCAGAAATTCTGTCTCCAGTGCCAGAGTGGGCCTATATATTAACCCAACAGTGAACTTCACTCAGTGTCTCTGTGGCGTACCGATAGTCCTTGACTTGCAACCACAATTGTGCCTAAAATTTCCGTGGCTAAGCGAGACATTTGTTAAGTGAATCTTGCCCCATTTTACGACCTTTCTTGCCACGGTTGTTAAGGGAACCACTGCTGTTGTTGAGTTAGTAACATGGTTGTTAAGTGAATCTGGCGTCCCCATTGACTTTTCTTGTCAGAAGGTCCCAAAAGAGGATCACATGACCCTGGGACAGTGAAACCGTCATAAATAAGAGCCAGTCGCCAAGCATCCGAATTTTGATCACATGACCAGGAGGAAGCTGCAACTTTTTGCCCTTTCCTCAGTGTGAAAAACGGTAATAAGTCACCTTTTTTCAGTGCTTTTGTAACTTTGAACGGTAACTAAATGAACGATTGTAAGTCGAGGACTCTCTGTATCTCAAGGACTATCTTGATAAAAACCATTTGACAGTCTCAGGTGGATGTTCTCTCTTTAAATATGGATGGAAACTAATCAAGGAGAGAAGCAACCTAGAACTAAGGAGAAATTTCCTAGCACTTAGAACAGTGATGGCGAACCTTTTAGAGACTGAGTGCCCAAACTGCAACCCAAAACCCACTTATGTATCGTCGGGTGCCAGGTGGGCATGGCCCATCAGGTGGGTGTGACCAGTTGGGTGGGCGTGGCCCATTGGGTGGGTGTGGCTGCAGTGGTAACGGCCGACTGGGTGGGACTAAAAAGTTCAATCAATCAATTCCAACTTTGCGAGATCTTTTTTTTTCCCGTGAGAAGTTAAAATTGACTGATTGATTGAAACTTTTTTTTTTTTGCACATGGCGGCGGAGGCCTAAAGTGAAAAGGTTTTATAAAACCCAGCTGAAGGCCTAGGACTGGGGCGACGGCACGCGTGCCCACAGAGAGGGCTCTGCGTGTCACCTCTGGCATGTGTGCCATAGGTTCGCCACTTAGAACAACTAATCAGTGGAACAACCTGCCTCCAGAAGCTGTGAATGCTCCAACACTGGAAGTTTTTAAGAAGAGACTGGACAGCCATTTGTCTGAAATGGTATAGAGTTTCCTGCCTGAGCAGGGGGTTGGACTAGATGACCTCCAAGGTCCCTTCCATCATCATCATTATCATCATCATTATTGATGATGTCAGCAAGATGTTCAGATTGGATTTGACATTTTTGTCTACCTATCGAGTCCTTACCAAGATGTGGATGCTTGATTTGATGGTATTACAGATATCGTTGCAGGATGGAAGCTGTTCCTAGTAAGGCCGCCTTTTGCAATTGACTAATGGTGAATTTGTCAATGCCAGTGGTGTTCGAATGGTGTTCCAGTTGTTTTGGGATTGCATCCAAGGTGCCTATTACTATTTGTACTACTCTTGCTTGCCTTTGCCACAGTCTTTCTATTTCTATTTGTAGGTCTTTGTATTTTGTTATCTTCTCCAGTTCTTTTTCTTCTCTTCTGCTGTCTCCAGGCACTGCCACATCCACTATCCAGATTATTATTATTATTATTGTCGTTGTCGTTGTTGTTACTAGTATTAGTATTATTATTATTACCCAGGTCAATCCTGCAAAGGGCTGTCTTACTTTCCAGTCTCCTGATTCTCTTTGATCCCCAGCAGGTACAGAGAGCTCTGATTCTAAAACAAAGATTTTTCTTATCTTAAAAAAGCCAGCAAGCACACAAGATACATAGAGACCGTGGTCCTTTTTGGCAACATCACTGTTTTGTCCCTTAGTAAGATAACAATAGTTGTTGACAGTTTTCAACTTCGATCACTTGCAAGTTTGAAAGTGGTTGCAGATATTTTTAGCTGATGCTTGCCTTGCCAAAGGAGGATCTTGAAAATCAGCCCAACTAATAATGAAACAAGTGAGAGAAAGATACTAGGTGAACAGCCATTGCTTGTACATGTACGGTATTGTGATAAGGTGACTTGTAATGTAAACAGGAATTTATTTTGTTTTGTGGATTCAATTGAAGTGAATAAGGAATTTTCTAGCATAAACCCTACCATTTGTGATTTAGGTCCATGTCCTTCCCAGTTCTTTGGATAGCGCACGGGAAGATGGGAAGGGGATATTTATTTATTTATTTGCATCCTGCCTTTATTGTTTTTACAAGTAATTGAAGGTGGTGAAAATATCCAACACATCTTCCTCTTCCTGTTTCCTCCACAACAACAACCCTGTGAGGTGGGCACAGCTGAGAGAGAGAATAGAATAGAATAGATCTGAAAGGGACCTTGGAGGTCTTCTAGACCAGCCCCCCGCTCAAGCAGGAGAACTTATATACCATCTTAGACAAGTGTCTGTTCAGTCTCTTCTTAAAAACCTCCAGTGATGGAGCGCCCACGATTTCTGATGGCAAGCTGTTCCACTGGTTAATTGTCCTCACTGTTAGGAACTTTCTCCTTAATTCCAGGTTGCTTCTCTCTTTGGTCAGTTTCCAACCATTGTTTCTTGTCCTGCCCTCTGGTGCTTTGGAGAGTAACGTGACCCCCTCTTCTTTGTGGCAGCCTCTCAAATACTGGAATACTGTTATCATGTCTCCGCTATTTCTTCTTTTCTTTAGACTAGCCAGACCCAAGTCCCGCAGCCATTCTTCATATGTTTTAGTCTCCATGTCTTGGATCATTTTAGTTGCTCTTCTCTGAACTTTTTCCAAGGTCTCAACATCTTTTAGAACTCATACTCTCCCTCTTTCTAGCCTGGTGTCTTAACCACTACACCAAACTGGCTCTCCTCTATTTCTCTTAATGCCTCTTTGGTGGACAAGGACATGTTGGTTCCTTTGTACTGTAGGAGTCATTGTGCACTGTTCTTTGAATTCACCTATTTTGGATATCTGCCTGCCTGCTCCCAACCTCCCCTTTTTAGGAAAGTGTGTCGGGAGATGGTGGGAATTCAGTTACAGAATGTCATAGAAGACGAGATTAGCTGAGTCCTTTTAAATACACTTTTAAAATTGGGTCTGGGACAGGGGTAGGCAACCTTGGCTCTTTTATGACTCGTGGACTTCAACTCCCAGAATTCCTGAGCCAGCATGGCTCAGCTTGGAAACCTCTCCCTTTCCCCTCAGCATGGCTGGCTCAGGAATTCTGGGAGTTGAAGTCCACGAGTCATAAAAGAGCCAAGGTTGCCTACCCCTGGTCTAGGACAATTTGCCAGGGCCATCTCATTGCGTCCAACTCACCACAACTGACTCGCCTTGGGCAACTTGCTACAGCCAACCTGCCATGGGACAATTCGCCATGGCCAACTCGTCGGGGGACAACTTGCTGTGCAACGAAAGCGACATAATTTTGAAGAAATGGTGAAATGGAATCATTAAAGAAAGAATGCCAAAGGAGGGAGAAAATGAAATGCGAATGACAAAAATGAAAACAATTTTTTAATTGTTTTAAATGAAATGGTCCCGCAGCAAGTTGTCCCACCGTGAATTGGCCGTGAGTTGTCGCGTGGTGAATTGGTCATGGCGAATTGTCCCTTTCCGTTTAACGTCAGCATTCGGTCTGGGCATGGAACAGAAATAGTATTGTTGGTTTCTGTGGGTGACCTTTGTGGGAAACTGATGGAAGGAGTGCACCCCTCTTGGTTTTACTTCATTTCTCCACGGTGTTCAATACCCTTAATTATAATATCTTTCTGGGCCATTGCAAGGATTAGAGGCACTATTTTCAACAGCCCCATTCTTTCCAAAGCAAGAGGTGTCAATCATTTTAGGGGGAGGTGAATCAGACTGGGGAATTCTTCCTTGTGGTTTTTTTTTCAGGCTTAGTTCATACTTTCTCTTTAACATCCACATAAAACTGCTGGAATTGATTTGGTTCAGAGTCAGTTCCCTAATGACACTTTAAAATGATAGAATTATAGAGTTGGAAAGGATGATGAAGAATATATACTGTAGACCAGCCCCCTGCAATATTCAAGAAGACCAATCAAACCATCCTTATCCAGCCTCTTCTTAAAAACCTTTAGAGATGGAGAACCCAACATCCATTGGTAAACTGATCCATTGTTGTATAATCCTTACCATCAGAAAGTTTTCCATTTAAACCAGGAGTGTCCAACCTTGGCAAGCTTGAGGCCTATGGACTTCAACTCCCAGAATTCTCCAACCAGCCACTTCAACTCCCAGAATTCCTCATTCCCCAGCCAGCCATGCTGGCTGAGGACTTCTGGGAGTCGAAGTCCTCAAGTCTTAAAGTTGCCAAGGTCGAACACCCCTGATTTAAACAAAATTTAGGTGAGTATAATTTATACCAATTATTTTGGGTCCTGTTTTTTGTGGGCATGGAGAAAAAGTTCTTGATCACACTCCTTGTAGCTTCTCTTTATGTACCTGAACATGGCTGACCTGTCTCCTTGCCTTTTCTTTCTTTCGGAATCCCAAGTTTTTTCAATTTTCACTGTAATCCCAAACTTTATTGTCTTACTCTGCAGCCTCTTTAATCGGTCAATATTCTTCTGAAAAAGCAGTGCCCCAAATAAAGTACGATTTTACCTGTGCCAAATACAAGTAGTGCTCAACTTATGACCACAATTGAGCCGAAAATTTATATTGCTAAGTGAGAAATTTATTAAGTGAGTTTTGCCCCATTTTACGACTTTTCATGTTGCATTTGTTAAGCGAATCACTGCAGTTATCCCAAAGATGCTTTTTCACAAGGCAACTGGACTTTCTTGTTTTTCTTTGAAGATGTTTCGCTTCTCATCCAAGAAGCTTCTTCAGCTCTGATTGGATGGTAGGGGAATGGAAGGATTTATTCTCCTTGCAGACAGCTGTTCATTTGCATTCTTTTAGGGAGTTGTTAAAGGTAGCTGGAGGCTTATCTGTGTCTCCAGGGTCACCTGAGTAGTGCAAATGGCCGTGGAGCCTTCTTGGAACTGCTCAAAGGACCGTGTTGTAGACTGGAGATAGTTGGTGTCTTTCTCCCCCCTTCCTCAGTTGAGGGAAGGCTGTTCAATTTTGACACAGATGGTCTCTTTGACCCCTCTTTCAAAATTGAACAGCCCTCTCTCAACAGAGGGGGAGAGAAATCATTTCCCCATTGACTGTGCTTGTCAGAAGGTCGCAGAAGGGGATCACAATGACCCTGGAACGTTACAACCGTCATAAATGTGAGTCAGTTGTCAAGCATCTGAATGTAAATCATGTGACCATGGGGATGCTGCAATGGTCGTAAGTGTGAAAAACGGGCATAAGTCACTTCTTCAGTGCTGTTGTAACTTTGAACGGTCACTAAGTGAACTGTTGTAAGTCGAGGACTACTGATAAATCATGTCTTCGTGCATCTTTGATATAATACTATTTTGGATATGGCTCATAACTAGGTTAGGCCTGTCCCACGTTACCAACTCAAATTCAGCTTATTGCCAGTGACTCAACTGAAGTCCATCTTAGATGTTTCCAAGTCACGATGCCCCATTTTGTATGGGTCTTCTGCATTCCTTTCTTGCTAATGTAATGCCATATTTCTCCCTGTCTTGTTCCTCCCAGTTCAGTCTTCCAAGTGTTGACCAAACCTCTCAGTCTTGTGTTATCATAACATTTTATTAAGCAGCTCATTAATTCCATCATCTAGATCAGTAATTACAAAGCTCTGGCCACAAGACCCATCTCTGCATAAAACCACAGGTTGCTGATGTCCAGCTTGACCTAGGATCATAAGTGATGACACTCTGAATTCAGTAGGGTTCTGATATTGTAATTGTAATTTTGTTTTTCTTTGGGGAGGTCTTCATTTATTACTTCATATATTAAATATTATAGTTATTTGATGGTTACCAATCACTTTCAACTGAGGACTAACATACAGCTCTAAATAGTACAATTAGATAAGATAATAATGTAGGTAGTTCTTGACTTACAACCATAATTGGACCTGAAATTACAGTTGTAATTCATGCTGGTCATTAAGCAGGTCACTATGTGATCGTGCCTGATTTTATGACCTTTTTTGCAGCAGTCTTTAAAGGACCAATGCGGTCATTAAATGAATATTGTGGTTGTTAAAGGAATGTAGCAGTTTTTAAGTAAGTCCGTTGTCTGCAATGGGGGTTTTGTGTCAGAAACCAGAAATTAACACCAGTTTCTAGCAAAAGAGTTGTAAATTGTGGTAATGTAACCACAGGATGCTATAAACAGCTGTGAATGTGGGCTGGTTGCTGAGCATCCAAAATGTGATTATGTATCCTCAAGGTGTGTGTGTGTGTGGGTTGTGTATGTGTGTGCTGGAACTTTGAATCCAGGTTGTAAGTATCCCAGTGAGGACTGTTGTAACTTCAGGCCCTCATTATGTGACCAATCGTAACTCAGGGACTACCTATAGCAGGAAAGTCTGAATCAAACTTGAAAAGAGTGTTTCAAGGAAGTATTTTAAGAAATCTGACTGTTTATTGCCACTTAATGAACTTTTGTCTTTTTTTTGTGTAGATCAGGGAGCGTAACAACACACTGGTCAGAAATTGTTGAATTTGTGAAGCAGCTAACAGAAAGATTTGTGAGGTAAGTTGTCAAATGAGTTAGAAAGAACTATGTTTCCTTTTTTTCTGGTAACTATTTTCTCTAATTTCCTGTTTTCCCTGGAGACTATGAGTAGTTTCATAGATTGCAAATGAGTTTGAAACTAGGCCTGACTTGTTCTTAACAACATAAGAATGTATGTTTTGTTGGTCAAGTTGAAAAAAGAGTTGGAATCTGTTTAGATCAGAATTCCAACACTTACTAAGAATATCTCTAGAAATGTCCAGTAAGAGTGGAATTTGAGCCTGCATTATAGGATATCAAATACAATTCTGACCAAAATACCTGCCACTGAGCAAAAAAAAATTTGGAGGGACAGGAAGAGGTTAAAAATATATTAAGATTAAAAAAAATACTATTTATCAGAATGTAAAAAATGAGTTGTTTTAAATCAGTCTTGTGGTGAACAAAGGAGAACAAAAACAGGAAATAGATTTTTGGTTTCTTAGTTTTCCTTCCCGCTTTTTCTTCTCTTTTTCACAATACAATCACACTTTTTCATACATTTTCAGGAAAGCAGCTGTTGGACACCAAGCATTTATTGTTTTCTATAGTTTTCTGATGTCTTCCCAAGGATGTTACACAGATGTATGCAACATCTGCCTTATTATGGCAGCATGATTTTGATCTTTTGTGCTACTCAGACAAAAATCGATTATTTTAAAAGTATAGACTACACTTAAGTCTAGTTAAACACAGGATCCTTTGAGTCCTGGAAGCAATTGCATAGAGTCATTAGTGCACTTAATTGTTTCCTATGGAAAATACAGTACAGTTAGGCAATTGTGTTTGACCAGCTAGTGTAAAATCATGTGGAATAGGAATCTTAATTGCAGCGCATCCATCTTCATAGGGCAGAAAACAAGGCCTCTATAGAATAGGGAAAGAAATCTGATTGGATTGTCTTTCCTGGGATAATGTAAGTTAATAAAAAGAGTAATTGGTAGAAGCCATGGGATCTGGAATTTCAGTTACTGGCAGTAGAGATGTTTATTCCTTCCAAAAATGATCTGATTGCCCATTCCTAAGCCTTTTGGTCACTCTCGATTTTGACAAGAACTCCACCCTTTCATTTCTAAACTGACTGGAACAAAAACGAATTGGTGAAATCATTGGTTGAATAATTCTTAACAGCTTTTAGAGGCTTCTTTTCGTTGTCCTTCCACTCCTTTTCTTTCTTAAGGGAAAAGGAGACTATTCCATGGTTGACAAATGCTGTTCGGTGCAGCATATGGTGAAAATTCTGAGCAGGTTTCATTATAAGAATTAGATCACTCCAGTACGAGTTGTACATCTGCTCTCCATTTTTTTTTTTTCTGGGCCTGAACGACGAAGGCCTGAAGTTACAACATAACACACGTTTGATTTCATTTTAAGAGCTTCACGCCTGCGGTGAGGATATTTAAAAAACAATGGGAACGTATGCTTATGAATTTCTCCCAGAATGGAATTCCTTGATGGTGGAATTTAAAAAAAAAAAATCAAACATACAAAAAGGTTAAAAAAAAAAAAGGATTTGGCAATGATGTGGTCTATCTTTGGACAAAGAAAAATCTACTGAGGAAAATGCTTGAGATGGCTCCCTCAGATTAAATAATAACCAGCGGACAGAAAACAGCCCACTTTGTGTGACAATAGTCTCTGCTTCATATTTCATGACAACTTGTGAGACAGATGCTTGATATGGTCTTTCTGGACCTTCCTGGGCTGTAACATGACCCTACGCCCTCATGCAAATTGTAGGACATATGCATTGTACAAAGGCAGCTCTGAGGTGATCCTTCACAATTTCTAGGAAAAATATATCTCTGCCGAATGAATTTATTTGTGTTTTACACAAGGAGAAACAATATATAGGTTGTCCACGACTTAACAACCATAACTGAGACCAGAATTTCTGTTGTTAAGCAAGATGGTTGTTAAATGAGTCCCCCTCAAGTCCCACAATCTTTACAACTGTGATTCACTTAACAACTTTGTTTGCCATGGTTGTTAAGTGGATCACTGAGGTAGTTAAGGGAATCTGGCTTCCCACTGACTTCGCTTGTGGGAAGCTGGCTGGGAAGGTCACAAATGGTGATCACATGACCCCAGGATGCTGCAACTGTCATAAGTACATGTTGGTTGCCAAGGGACTGATTTAACAACCACCTTGCTTTACATAGGGATTACATAGCAGGGGGTTGGACTAGAAGACCTCCAAGATCCCTTTCAACTCCTATTCTATTCTATTCTATTCTATTCTATTCTATTCTATTCTATTCTATTCCATTCCATTCCATTCCATTCCTTTGGGATGCTGCAGCACTTGTAATTGTGAGGACCAGTTGTAAATCACATTTTTGAGTGCTGTTGTAACTTCAAACGGTCATTAAATGAATGGCTTTATGGTGAATAGGAATTCAAAAGATCAAAGATCTTTGATCTTTTGAATTCCTATTCACCATAAAGCCATTCATTTAATATTGTGTCCAGTTCTGGTCACTATGATACACAAGATGTTGAGATTCTAGAAAGAGTACTTCTTCTTCTTGTGCTATATCCGTTATCGGACGTTGGTGATCATGTTGGCGATCCTGTTTTTATCAGCAGCCGCACGAAAAAGTGCTGCTGAGTTTTGTCCAAACCAAGAGTGCAGATTATAATAACAAAAATGATAAGGGGACTGTAGGCTAAACCCATATGATGAATGATTGTGGGAACCAGGTATGTTTAGTCTTAACGAAAAAAAGAACTAGGGGTGATATGATAACCCTCTTCCAGTACTTGAGGGACTGTTACAGAGAAAAGTCAACATTTTTCTCCAAAGCATCTGAGGGCAGGACAAGAAATAATGAGTGGAAGATCACTAAAAAGAGACCCAATCTAGAACTAAGGAGAAATTTCCTGACGGCGAGAACAATTAATCAGTGGAATGGCTTGCCTCAGGAAGTTGTGGGTGTTTCATTTCTGGAGGTTTTCAAGAAGAGATTGGACCACCATTTGTCTGAAATGGTATAGGGTCTCCTGCTTGATCAGGGAGTTGGACTAGAAGACCTCCAAAATCCCTTCCAAATCTATTATTCTATGTTCTAATATCCCCTCAGGTTTTACAATCATGGACAACTTTGTTTTGGACATTGTTATAAGGATTGGAGCCTGTTCAGTTTGGCCTTTGAGTGGAAAACACTTTCATTCCAGTTTTTTGTCTCAAATGTGCAGATTATACCTCATCATTTCCTACCAATGGACAGCAGTCAAAAAAGCAATTTTAGTGCTTTGATTCGTCCCATAATTTCTTCTATGGGCCAAAACTGAATAGAGACAAACACAATGGTCTAAACGCTTAAAAGGGAAAACAACAGCTGGATTATTGAGAACTATGGTTTGTTTGATCCAGAATGTGAATTGAGCAAAATCAAGCAGATCCAATATAAGAGAATATCTGTAACGGAGGACTGAATTGTGCAGCTTCTGTGTTCTCTGAGCTGGTTACTTACAGACATTTCATTACCCAACTAGGTAACATCATCAGTTGACTAATGAAATGTCTGCAAGCAAACAATCAAGCTTAGAGAGCAGCACCAAATCTAGCAGTATTTATTTTGTTTTCAGGATAAAGCTCTTAGGTCAGTGGTTCTCAACCTTTTTAATGCCGTGACCCCAACCGGTCGTAAGTCGAGGGCTAAACCGGTCGTAAGTCGAGGACTAAACTGGTCATAAGTCGAGGACTAAACCGGTTGTAAGTCGTGGACTACCCAACCGGTCGTAAGTCGAGGACTTTCCCTGCCCGGGAGCGCCGCGCATGCGTGGTTCCGCCCCCTGCGCCAGCTGAGGTGTAGCTGGCAAGCGGCAGAGACGGAGCAGGCCGACTACCAGCTGGCCCAGCCCAAGGGAGGTAAGGCACCCGCCGGAAAAGGGGGGAAAAATGGTGGACAAAAAAAATGGCGGACAAAAAAAGTGGTGGACAGCCTTGCTTGGCGACCCCCATGAAATGGTCGATCGACCCCAAATGGGGTCCCGACCCACAGGTTGAGAACCACTGTCTTAGGTGAAATATACAATTGCCGACCAACATGTTATGTGCTGGATATTAGATAGTTCTCTGTGTGTTCAGCTGTCATTGAAGAAATTAAAGAATCCTTGAAATGTTTTGTCTTATATGGCTGAGGTTAATGTTTTTCTTTCTTATCTTTAAAAGCCCTCGGATGAGAATATCCTTCATAGTGTTTTCCATGCAAGCAACTGTGGTTCTGCCATTAACACAAGATAGGTAAGTAAATGTCGGCATTGCCCGTTTTTAAATACTCTTTTTTAAACCAACAGAACTGCGAACATTTCCAGCAATTAAAATTATACAATTATAATAATTGGGTAAGTAACGTTAGATCTGATTCAGGGCCTCTTGATGATTATCTGTTTTCCTGACATACGAACGGTCCTGTTGAATTGCTATTTTGAATATCTCCTTAAGGTCAAATGCAAATCAGAATCATATATAGGTAGTCCTTGATTTAGGACCACAATTGAGCCCAAAATTTCCATTGCTAAGCAAGGCAGTCAAGTCCATTACTTTTTGGGGTGCAGACTCTAAGGTGCCATTCAGACATCAAATACAGCCTTTGATTAAAAGAATAAAAACCCCAGATCCAAAACGGACAACTATTAGATCCAGACCACAAGTCTGCTTTCTCACTTCATTCTAGTGGCCTGTTATAAAGGTTGTCGTGGTGGCACAGTGGTTAGAATGCAGTATTGCAGGCTGACTCTGCCCACTGCCAGTAGTTCGATCCTGACTGACTCAAGGTTGACTGAGCCTTCCATCCTTCCAAAGTCGGTAAAATGAGGACCCAGATTGTTGGGGGGCAAGATGCTGATTCTGTAAACCGCTCAGAGAGGGCTGTAAAGCACTGTGAAGCAGTAGATAAGTCTAAGTGCTACTGCTATTGTTAGGAAAAATTTGGGAAGCATTTGGAAAACTCTGATATGCCCTCTAGAGCAGGGGCCTTCGAACGTGGCCCTTTTATGACTTGTGGACTTCAACTCCCAGAATTCCTCAGCCAGTGTGCCTGGCTGAGGAATTCTGGGAGTTGAAGTCCACAAGTCATAAAAGGGCCATGTTTGAAGGCCCCTGCTCTAGATGCTGAGTCACGTAGAAGATGCTAATGTATTAATTGGGAGAGAGCCACGTGCCTTCTCAAATCTGACATCAAGAATGAAGGACTTGGCGCGATGAGTATTAAGTACGGTTTGGAAGGAAGACAACCAGCATGATAACTGTGAGGGATAAAAATGTGCCTTTGCTGAAAGACAGAGGTGTTAGATGCTTCCGCATATGTTCCACTGAGATGTTCTATTTTGTAATTGTGAAGCAGCTTCCAAGTTGCCATCAACGGATTGTCTTCCTCTGCTTTTGTCTTGAATTTCACAAACCTTCCAGATTTCACTCGGTTATTTCAAGGTAGCCGACTCTTCAGGAGTTGCGTGTCTGCTTTTGCTGTAGCAAACCATCACCTTATTCAACTGTGCAAATGTCTGCTTTTATTGTTAAATATGTTTTGATGTGTACATAGTTACTTCCAGCGAGGGAGAAAGGATTCAGAATTGAGTGGGGTTTTTGGGGGGGGGGAAGCTTCATGTTCAGGAAAGAATCAAGAAACGGGCATCCGCCACGGATGGTGAAGAAACATTACCGGTGACATCATGATACAAACTCTGTACTGCATACCCTGGTGTTCATTGCCAAGACATTGCAACACACGTTTCATCATTTTTGTTTTTGCCATTGCCGTTTCTACGGGATGTCTGCAACGTGAAAGAAATAGTATATTTTATTTTACGATGTTCTGCTAAAACCTGTATGTTTCCATCACTTGCAGCATAACTTATCTTTTCCTCTAGAGCAGGGGTCTTCAAACTTGGCCCTTTTATGTCTTGTGGACTTCAACTCCCAGAATTCCTCAGCCAGGCATGCATGCCTGGCTGAGGAATTCTGGGAGTTGAAGTCCACAAGTCATAAAAGGGCCAAGTTTGAGGACCCCTGCTCTAGACTGTAAGACGTGGGCCGAGAGTTTATCAGAGATGTTCTCCAGTTCTGAAGAAGCTTCTTGGACGAGAAATGAAATGTTTTCAAAGAAAAAAAATCAAGAAAGTCCAATTGTTTTTTTTGGAAAAAAACAAAGCATCTTTGGGACTTCCTTCTCCTATTTTCCCCAGGAAATGACTGGCCCAAAGTCAGCCAGTTGACTTTCATAATTAAGGCAGGACTTGAACTGATAGTGTCCTACTTTCTAACCTTGTAGTATCTCAAGATATTACATCGAAGTTGAATCAAGTCATTGCCAAGTTATTTAAGTATCTTAATATGCAATCAATGTGTCATGGGAGATTTTAGCTCATTTAAAGTAAAGAGCTATTTTCTAGAATATTGTCAGTTTTCTCTTTTCCTCTGCAAGTTTTAATCCAACCCTTTTGTCTTGTTTTACCCGATTCCCCAATGAAACACATTTCTACTTGTTGGAGAAGATTTAGGAGCTGACTTTTTCTCTGTTAGTATCGTAATATTCTGTGTTTATTGAGCCTCTGGCATATTGATTTTCTCTCTTCCTTTTTTTTCAACATATTGAAATAAGTTCTTCTTATTACATCTCATCCCAGATCATTCTCAGTTTTAGCTTTCTTGCCAATCTTCAGTTCTGATCTAAAGTTAGTTTTGATCTACCTGTACGTTTTTTGTGACCTGTCATTTTTTCCACACTTGTTTCCTCTTTAAAAGGGCCGTTCCTGCTGAAGAAGAATCCAAAGGCCTTCTGAAAAATATATATCTTTCCTCATTAGTCTTTTTAGATTTAGAGAACCTTAACAATCACGATGCAATTCTATGCTTGTATGTCAAACTAAGAAAAACCATAACAGAAATAACCAATATGGAACTTCACAGTTCGAAACAAAGTTAATGTTCATGATCAGCATAGAAGTTCAGTCCAGGAGGAACAGTCTTGGAGTTAAGAGAACTGATAGATGAATGAAAAGAATACATCAGGAAGGAGTGTGAATTTGTGCCTACCACCCCAGAAAATATGGGTGTTGCAAAATTGAGCTTTATTGATTGTTTAAATTAAAGTATGATAAGCAACTCTTTCTTCATTTCCTTCACTCAAGCAGCAGCCACCATTGGCGGTCCTCCACCTTCACCACCACCACTACTACCACCACCTCCTCCTCTTCTTCTTCCTCCTCCTCCTCTCCTTGTCCTCCTCCTCCTCCTCTCCCTGTCTTCCTTCTCCTCCTCCTCCTTCTCTCCCTGTCCTCCTCTTCCTGTCTTCCTCCTCTCCTTGTCCTCCTCCTCCTCCTCTCCCTATCTTCTTCTTCCTCCTCCTCCTCCTCGCCCTGTCCTCCTCCTCCTCTCCCTGTCTTCCTTCTCCTCTTCCTCTCCCTGTCTTCCTTCTCCTCTTCCTCTCCCTGTCTTCCTTCTCTCCTTCTCCTCCTCCTCCTCTCCCTGTCTTCCTCCTCCTCTTCCTCTCCCTTCCTCCTCCTCTCCTTGTCCTCCTCCTCCTCTCCCTGTCTTCTTCCTCCTCCTCCTCCTCCTTCTCCTTGCCCTGTCCTCCTCCTCCTCTCCGTCCTTTTCCTCTCCCTGTCCTCCTCCTCCTCCTCTCCCTGTCTTCCTTCTCCTCTTCCTCTCCCTGTCTTCCTCCTCCTCCTCTCCCTGCCTCCTCCTCTTCCTCTCCCTGTTTTCCTCCTCCTCTCCTCGTCTTCCTCCTTCTCTCCCTGTCTTCCTTCTCCTACTCCTTCTCCTCCTCTCCCTGTCCTCCTCCTCCTCTTCCTCTCCCTGTCTTCCTCCTCCTTGTCCTCCTCCTCCTCCTCCTCTCCCTGTCTTCCTCCTCCCTCTCCCTGTCTTCCTCCTCCTCTCCCTGTCTTCCTTCTCCTACTCCTTCTCCTCCTTTCCCTGTCTTCCTCCTCCTCTTCCTCTCCGTCTTCCTCCTCCTCCTCCTCTCCTTGTCCTCCTCCTCTCCCTGTCTTCCTCCTCCTCCTCTCCCTGTCCTCTTCCTCTCCCTGTCTTCCTCCTCCTCCTCCTCCTCTCCCTGACCTCCTCTTCCTCTTCCTCTCCCTGTCCTCCTCTTTCTCCTCCTCCTCTTTCTCCTCCTCCTCCTCCTCTCCCTGTCCTCCTCCTCTCCCTGTTCCCCTCCTCTCCCTGTCCTCCTTCTCTTCTTCCTCCTCTCCCCCCCCCCCCTTCCTCCTCTTCTAGAATATTACAACCCAGATGGTAGTGTCCTCTTTTTCTGTGGAAGCCACTGTGTTTTCTTTTTGTAATCGTTGGGCTCCGCAGCTGAAATAGGGCTGCAGGTGTCAAAAAGTGCTGGGAGGTCTTGGTTCTATGCTGGATAAATAAAACCGAACGGATTGTACGAGAGCTATTTTTTGCATTGCAAAATCTGGTTTGGAAAAAAAAAGAAAAAGAAAAAGCAACCCTGGAACTTGATTTGTCATTTGTTTCTTGGCAGCGGAACTGCCAGAGCCTGCGGACAGTCTGCCAGACATCCCCTGGCAACCAGAGAGCGTCTGCTTTGTAATCTGCCTTCGTACATAATCAGTTTCAGGTTGTTTTCAATAGACGCCGAGTGTAAAATATTTTGGATTAAACAGATTGCATTGACTTTATGTAACTTGTTCAGCTGCCATCTATAGCGCGCAGCATGTCTTCGGTGGCAACCAGAACTGGTAGTGCAGATTTAAATGGATTGTGTAAGGGGGTTCCCCCCCCCTCCCCTCTTAGTCTACTTTTTCGACTGTGGGTGAGAGGGATGAAATGGAGAGCGATTCAGAAATCCGAAGTCCGCAGATTTCTCCGTATCTTATTTATATGTTACATTTCTATGCCCCTTACAACAACCTAAACATGACAATATATATAAAACATTAAAATGATAAACATTAGCATTACAGTGAACACAGATAGCTAAGGAAGGAGTTGTAGGAGAAGGGCAGGCAGAACTGAGGGCGGAGTTAAGCATGTCATAAGCTTAGAATCCTTGCGTTGCCACAAAGGGTCCAAATCCGACCCCTCTGGCATTTTGTTGACCCTTATCTGCTGCCAATTTAGTACTGAACTTTAATTGACTAGATCAGTGGTGGCGAACCTATGGCACGCGTGCCAGAGGCGGGGCACGGAGCCCTCTCGGTGGGCACACATGCCGTTGCCCCAGCTTTGCCTCCCCCGCGACCCCTTCCTCACCAGCAGCCCCCCTGGAGGAGAGTTGCCCCCGAGCGTGGCCCACGCAGAGCAGCGCAGCCAAAGACATGGCAGCCAGGCAGCGTAGACAAGACTCTGCCCTCACGGCCCATCGCGCACAGTTGATGCTGCAGGGCGCGGGCAGAGGGCGTGGCCGCTATGGCGCTGCTCGGCTGCCTAGATCCGTGGTGACGAACCTATGGCATGCGTGCCACAGGTGGCACGCAGAGCCCTCTCTCTGGGCACGTGTGCCGTTGCCCCAGTCCTAGGCCTTCAGCTGGGTTTTATAAAACCTTTTGCTTTAGGCCTCCATGTGCAAAAAAAAAAAAAAGGTTCAATCAATCAATTTCAATTTCTCGCGGGAAAAAAAAAGATCTCTCAAAGTTGGAATTGCTTGATTGAACTTTTTAGTCCCACCCAGTCGGCCGTTACCACTGCAGCCACGCCCACCCAATGGGCCACACCCACCCGGCGCCCGATGATACATAAGTGGGTTTTGGGTTGCCATTTGGGCACTCGGTCTCTAAAAGGTTCGCCATCACTGGCCTAGATGATCTGCAGCGGGCCCTGGATGCGGTAAGTGGCCTTGCGGGCAGGTGAGGGGGGGGATGAGCCAGGGGCAAGGCAGGGGGTGGAGCGGGGCGGGGCCAGTTTTGGGGCACTCGGTCTCTAAAAGGTTCGCCATCACTGGACTAGATACTTGTGTACAGGCTTGAGTAATAAATCTTCTGAACTGGAATTTAACATGTCCTGATTATTCGCAGCTGACACTTATAGGCCAGATTCACCATGGACAACGAATCTGTTTAGGTCAGGGGTAGGCAACCTCGGCTCTTTTATGACTCATGGACTTCAACTTCCAGAATTCCTGAGTCAGCTATGCTGACTCAGGAATTCTGGGAGTTGAAGTCCATGAGTCATAAAAGAGCCGAGGTTGCCTACCCCTGGTTTAGGTGTAGCCATAGAAAGCAAGACGTTTTAGGATTCTGGAGTGAATACTTTTGACTAGAGGACAACTGCATTTACAAATCTTTTGTCTCCAACGATCTGTTCAAGCTACTAGGAGCTGAGTTAACTCCAGTAATTTTGGTGTCTTTAATAAACTTTTTTTTTCATGATTTTCTCCCTTATTTTTAGGCAAAAAATTCAGAGAGGCATTGAAGATTTACAAAACGTTAAGCCAGGAGGTGAAACGTATATGCACGAAGGACTAGAAAAAGTAAGTCCCTTGCATTTTCTGCAATTGGAGATGCAGCGTAGTTTGTTGCTGTTTGAGAACTTTCAACTTTTTGAATCATTTTTTGGCATTTTTTTAAAAAAAATTGGTAGTATTTCTAACCTGCTTCACTCCAGAAGAATTCTGGGCAGCATAGAGGATGATGATGATTCTGCCCTGAAAAGCCCTTTTACAAATAACACAAATACACACATGGATAAACACACAAAGAACTGTGACTCGTAGAGCAGAAAAACAGAGTTGAAAGGGACCTCGGAGCTCTTCTAGTCCAACCCCCTGCTCAAGTAGGAAACCCTATATCATTTCAGACAAATGGTTGTCTAATATCTTCTTAAAAACATCCAGTGTTGGAGCACCCACGACTTCTGGAGGCAGGTTGTTCCACTGATTAATTGTTCTAACTGTCAGGAAGTTTCTCCTTAGTTCTAGGTTGCTTCTCTCCTTGATTAGTTTCCATCTGTTGCTTCTTGTCCTGCCTTCAGGCGCTTTGGAGAATAGCTTGACTCCTTCTTCTTTGTGGCAGCCCCTGAGATATTGGAACACGGATATCATGTCCCCCCTCGTCCTTCTCTTCATTAAACTAGACATACCCAATTCCAGCAGCCGTTCCTTATATGTTTTAGCCTCCAGACCTCTAATCATCTTTGTTGCTCTTCTCTGTACTCTCTCTAGAGTCTCTACTGAGTACAGTAAAAGCAAAAGCTTTCCCCAAATGGATTGTGGTGTTAGCGATGGGAGTGAAAAACCACTTCGTTAAAAGGATTCAGTCCAATATTGTAACGGACTGTAAAAATAACTCCAAGGAACAGGAGGAAGAACCACAACCAAGACATTGGCTAGAAAAAAGAAATTTGAGTCCCTGGCAGAAATGTAATTTGAGAACTGTCCCTGGTTCTCGCAAAGATACTGTACAGTGAAGCAGGGGGGAAAGCAAATTCTGTTATTGTAATCCTATAATAAAAGTAATACAGGTAGTCCTTGACTTACAACCATTTGTTTGGTGACAGTTCAAAGTTGCAACGGCACTGAAAAAAGGGACTTACGACCATTTTTCACACCACTTTTATAGCATCCCTGCTGTCACATGATCAAAATTTGGATGCTTGGCAACTGGCATGTATTTATGACGGTTGCAGTGTCCCGGGATCAGGTGATCCCCTTTTGCAACCTTCTGACTAGCAAAGTCAATGGGGAAGCCAGATTCACTTACAGTAGTGGCCAAAACTGGGAAAAGTGTACAGTAGAAATGCCACCTTTGGTTAAGTTTCCACCCATTTTTCTTCTAATTTCTTTATAACTGTAGCCTTGTTCGCTTAATAATACTATTTTGCATAAATATGAGTCAGTTGCCGAGCATCTTGAATTTTGATGAGGATGCCACAATAGTTGTAAGCATGAAAAAACGTCATAAGTCACTTTTTTCAGTGCCATTGTAACTTCAAACCATCACTAAACAAACTGTTGTAAGTTGAGAACTTCCTGTATATCATGAGTCCCCAAACCCCTGGTCCGTGGACCAGTACCAGTCCACATAAACAAGTAAAGCCCCATCTGCGGGATGCAGGCACCACACAAAACCATGTCCCCTTCGGTCCACGGAAAAACCTCTCTCCACGGAACCGGTCCCTGGTGCCCAAAAGGTTGGGGACCTCTGCTGTATATCATTCACACTGAAATTAAACATAAAAATTTGGGTGCAACTTGATCAACTCTTATCTCATTATGATTCACCATTTTTATGCTCCATTTCTTGCTCGTCTCCACTTCCAAATGCGATTGTAAGAGCACAAATTCTTTTGTTTTTCCAGGCAAATGATCAGATTGCAAAAGCAAAAGGGTCCAGTAGTGTAATCATTGCCTTGACAGATGGAAAGTTGGAAGGCTTGATTCCACTGTATGCGGAAAAAGAGGTGAGGGTTGAAGTGCAACGGCAGTTCCTGTTGAGTTCAACATTTGCACATATGTGTTATTTTTTTTTGCAAATGTAGACATAATTCCTCTTTCCCCCCATTCTCTCTGCTACAGGCAAAAAATGCCAGATCCATGGGAGCTAGAGTTTATTGCGTTGGAGTCCTCAATTTTAATCAAGAACAGGTAGGGACCCCCTGTCTTGGAAATTTGATTGTCTGCATATCAAAATGAAAAAAAAAATCTGGCAAAGGTGCTTTCTTATTTGAGAAATTTCCTTGGACGAAGAAACCCAAACTCATTGGTAGCCTCACATTGCAATGAACAAGGACGTGCATTCAATTTCACAATTACTATGATTGTTGGCCGAGCAAGGTCAAAAATAGCTAGAGAAATGATTGAAGCCTGGGAAATGGGTCTCTTGACAGTCAGTAGGAGGGCTGAAGTATCACCAGCCTATCAGATACTTAGGAGCCAAGGGCACAGTGGCACAAGGAAACAACAATCAACAATGTAGTAGGCAGCCATTAACATCCTAATTAACAACTAAAAGCTACATACAACCAGGAATTATACAAATACAATGCATAGAATAGTCTGCTGTGCATATTCTGGAGAGAGAGAGAGGGAGGGAGGGAGAGAGAGAGAGAGGGTGGGAGGAGAGAGAGAGGGAAATAGAGGGAGGGAGAGAGAGAGATGGGCTCCAGTATAAAACTGAAAGCTTGGAAAAATAAACGTTTGGTCCCAGTGACCGATTCAGATTGGATCCTGCAGAAATTTCTTTCTTCACTGAATCTTTTCAGCAACTGTTTTGTGTTTTGGGATTCATTTTCTGGGGTGGTAATGGCGCCTGTTTTCCAGGTACGTTAAAGTATACCTGGCAGCTTACACACAATTTTTGTATATCACTTAAAATGGGTGGAAAATCCTACCATCATTTTTTTTGTGTGTGAATTGCTGCCAAATTTCAGAAGTATGATTTATTGGGGGGTTCCAGGATATACACTTAGGTCCACTCACAAAACTAAGAGGCATGTAGCGTGTGACCCACGACTAGCCCATCCCTCTGTTATGCATTCAGTGTAACATGTAGTTTGACCCTTAGCCTGAAGCGCCTGTTTCTGCTAAATTGGATCATTCAAGATTGTTCTGTTTGGTTGGCTGCTCTCTGGTGCTTTGGATAATAATGGTTGGTGGGAGACAACGATGACATAATGATTAGTTTGGTTTTAAAGAAAAGAATCAGCAGTCAGTGAAAACCATACTCTATATCAGTGTTTCTCAACCTTGACAATTTTAAGGCATGTGGACTTCAACTCCCAGAATTCCACAGCCAGCATTGCTGGCTGTGGAATTCTGGGAGTTGAAGTCCACATGCCTTAAAATTGTCAAGGTTGAGAAACACTGCTCTATATGAAACTGCTCCTTGTTTTTCCTTGGTGACCTTTCATAACTGGGAATCTCCCTTGAAGTTGTGTTAAGTTTGTTTTGCAGCGGGAATAAGAAAAGTTATGACTAGTAAACAGGATTCTGTCTATATACCTGTGGGTTCTCTTTAAGCCATTCATTTCCCTGCTCTAAATCATTGCTAAATCTTGTGCGTGCATGTCTGTCTGCGTCTATTTGTGTGGTAGCACAAACCTTTGTTGTATTTGTGCGTCTTTCCCTAGCTTGAAACCATTGCTGATTCAAAGGATCAAGTCTTCCCAGTAAGAGAAGGATTTCAAGCTCTCCGAGGGATAATTAATTCTGTGAGTATTTGAAAAAAAAGTGCATCTTGTTTAATTTGCAAAGCTTGTTTATTATTATTTTTTTGAAAGACATTTCTGCGGCGATTTCATTTTGATGTTAATGACTGGTTCCCTGGGCTTTCTTAGCTTCAGTGCTCTATTGTGAAATGAGCTGATTTTGAACAAACTAAAATGGCTTAGTTGCATGATCAAGCATCTAGAGCAGTGATGGCGAACCTTTTAGAGACTGAGTGCCCAAACTGCAACCCAAAACCCACTTATTTATCACCGGGTGCCAGGTGGGCGTGGCTGTGGTGGTCATGGCAGACTGGGTAGGTGTGGCCAAGGTGGGCGTAGTCACCTTGATGTTGCTCGTGGGGAGGGACGCCTGTGGGGGCCGGGCAGGATTGGGGGAGATCCAGGGGGTCTCTGGCAGGTGGGGAGGTGGGCAGGAGGCTCGTCCTGCAGGGAGAGGTGAGGCAAGGCGAGGCAGGGCGGGGGTGCCATTGTCACAGGGCAAGGCGAGGCAGGGGCCGGGTCAGCTGCTGCCTGACACCATCGGCCCCGCACACAGAGGCCAGTGAGCGCATGGGGGCTGACAGTGTCCATCAGCAGCCACAGCCTGCCGGCCCCTCGACTGGCGCACTCTGGGGCTCCGCAGCCTGTCCCCAGCAGTTCAGAGAAGCCGCCTCTGAGCTGGACAGCCGGCCGACAGCTGAGGAGGTGATGCAGTGGGTCGTGCCCACGAAAAGGAGAGCATGCGAGGCCAGGAGGGATGGGATAGGGGGGAGGGAAACCAGCCATGCTGGGATGCATCCAGCTAAGTGGGACCTCGGTGAGTTAGTGGGTGGCTGGTTGAAGAGGGACGGTTGCCATCTCCGGGGCATGGCGCTCGTGTCCACAGAGAGGGCTCTGAGTGCCGCCTCTGGCACACGTGCCCTAGGTTCGCCACCACTGATCTAGAGACTCCTTGAGACAGGAACAGAAAACTGGCTTTTCAAGGGTTCCCGAGTGACTGCTCCCAAAATTCCTTATCATGGGCCATGATTGTTAGATCTCCTGGCAGTCACTGTTCAGTGTAATCTGCTTACCTTTAAGGATTGGTAGGTTGTAGAAGAGGGAAGGTTTTCTCTTCTATTACAAGGTCGAACTTCATTCAGCCAGAACTAGTATGGCTGGTTGCATATCCCATGTGATAATAACAGGTAGTCCTGGACGTACGAGCACAGTTGAGCCCAAAAATTAATGTTGCTAAGCGAAACATTTGTTAAGTGAGTTTTGCCCCATTTTATGGCCTTTCTTGCCACAGTTGTCAAGTGAATCACTGCATTTGTTAAGTTAGTGACATGGTTGTTAGCAAATCTGGATTCCCCAGTGATTTTGCCTGTCAGAAGGTTGCCAAAGGGGATCACATGACCCCGGGACACTGCAACCGTCATAAATATGAGTCAGTTGCCAAGCGTCTGAATTTTGATCACGTGACCCTGGGGATGCTACAACGGCCGTAAGTGTGAAAATGACCGTTTTTTTCACACAACCTTGCAACATCCCCATGGTCACATGATCAAAATTCAGAAGTTTGTCAACTAACTCATGTTTATGACGGTGTCCCGGGGGTAATGGGATCACCTTTTGCGACCCTCTGACAAAGCAAAGACAATGGGGAAGCCAGACTCACTTTACAACCGTGTTACTAACTTAACCACTGCACTGATTCACTTAACAACGGTGTTAAGGAAAGTCGTGAAAAAGGAGCAAAACTCACTTACCAGCTGTCTCGCTTAACAACATACATTTTGGGCTCAGTTACGGTCGTAAGTTGAAGACTACCTGTATTTCTGAACAGCTGGTAAAAAAAGAAGATGGGAAAGAGGGATAAACCCAAGGATTCCTGTTGTCCGAGTCATGGGTCGGGTGGGAAGATTTCTCAGTATTGATCTCGAGGCAAGTTGTATAAAACATTGCTGCTTCCTTCTGGCCCATTATCTGGATCCCATGTGATGGATCTCGTCAAGCGCAAAAGGATCAGCAGCAGAGGTTAAGTTGCAGTTCAAAAGATTTATTGCTGAAGCTTGTACACAAGAATCTAGTCAACCAAAGTTCAATGTTGAATTGGTGCCAGATTGGACTTCGACTGTTTGTGGCAATGTAACGATGCCAAGCTGATGTCTCACTTCACTCCACCCCCTAGCTCTGTCTGCTCTTCTCCTACAGTTCTCCATTCAAAGAAAGGGAGTTGGGATAGATTCCTATTTTTGAGCGAGTTAGTATGAGAAGATATAAGACCCCGTGCGTGATATTTTCCTTGGATAGCTTCACATGTTTCTATAATAGGGAATTTATTTTGGAATGTAAATATACTGGCAGGGTTTGATTCCTAAAAAGGCTTCTTAAATCAGGCCCTACCGGCTTGCTTGTTTCTGTATAGAATAGATAAATTGCCTCTTTAAATTGCACTTTTGACTTGGAAGGACTGCATCGACTTGAGTTCGTTTCCTTGGAGAAAATCGCAGTGTGAAAGCTTTGTGGAACCGTTTAACTCTGCATGTTTATTTCTGTACTAAAATAAATGCACAACTCTCCATTAAGGAATGATATCGGCTCCAAGAAATGTAAACACATTAAATTTCAATGAGAATTTTGGGGAAATATTTGCTAATGAGTTTGCTTTCTGTTGCTCACTGTGGATGAAAGGGATCCAGTCAAACCGGTCTGGGTGTTTATATCTGCCAGTTCAGCTAGTACATGTGAAAACATGGTTTTACACCAACTGTGAATCAGGAATTGCTGCTACGCAGATAGTCCTTGACTTATAGCCATTTGTTTAGTGACCATTTGAAGTTTCTACATTACTGGAAAAAAGTGCCCATTTTTCACACTCAAGACCATTGCAGCATCCCGGTGGTCACATGATCAAAATTCGGACGCTTGGCAACTGGTTCCTATTTATGACCATTTTGCAGTGTTCCGGGGTCATGTGATCACCTTTTGTGAACTTCTGACAAGCAAAGTCAACAGAGAAGCCAAATTCACTTAACAACTGCAATGATTCACTTAACAACTGTGGCAAGAAACTCATAAAATGGGCCAAAACTCAACAACTGTCTTGTTTAGTAATGAAATTTTGAGCGCAGTTGTAGTCGTAAGTCAAGGACCACCTGTAATTTTAGTTGTCATTGTTAGTGATTATATTCTGGAGCAAGGAATGGTTCATAATCATAATCACAATCACAAACATAATCAAGTTGGAAGGGACCTTTGAGGTCATCTAGTCCAACCCCCTGCTCAGGCAGGAAACCCTATACCATTTCAGACAAATGGCTGTCCAGTCTCTTCTTAAAAACTTCCAGTGTTGGAGCATTCACGGCTTCTGGAGGCAGGTTGTTCCACTGGTTAATTGTTCTAACTGTCAGGAAGTTTCTCCTTAGTTCTAGGTTGCTTCTCTCCTTGATTAGTTTCCATCCGTTGCTTCTTGTCCTGCCTTCAGGTGCTTTGGAGAATACTTGACTCCCTCTTCTTTGTGGCAGCCCCTGAGATATTGGAAGACTGCATTCATGTCCCCCCTCGTCCTTCTCTTCATTAAACTAGACATAT